TCTCTCTCTCTCCCCCCCCCCCCCTCTGTGTGTGTGTGTGTGTATACTACAGAAAGTGGGATGTTGTATGATGTATCTGACCTCATTTACAATTGGACCAGTCGAGGAATCTCCTCTGAGACGCCATTGAACAATCCCACGGCTGGCACCCTCTTCATGCCCTCTCCATGCCCGTCGCTATCTCCATGGTTTCCCGTTTTGTGGGTGGAAATTTGTCATGCTGGTGCAGCTGGACAATTTCCCATGCTCATTCGATCTGGTGACATGCTTGCTGTAGCCATTCGAGTGCAAATATGACATGAGTTTGTTATGCTAAACTGTAAGTTGGGTGAGAGTTTTGTCTGCTGGCGTGCGTCGCTGAACTTTGGTTATCGAAATAAGGGAGATATTCGTGTTCTTGAAACTCTTTGTTTTTGACTTCACTCCTTTGCTGATGTGTAGCAGCATCTCGCTGTAGCAATTTTAGTGCAAATGTGGCTGGGGGCCAATTCTTGCTGTTGGGCTGTGGACACCTGTCCTGCAGTCGTTGGATCCAAAATAACGATTACGGCCATTAGGTAGGCGCTTTAACCGTGTTACGCACTGTACTGCCGTCTTCACCCGAATACAAGGCCCACTCAGTAAAGCTGTATTTTTTAGGCCACTTTCAGTCCAGATGCAGCGATGATGGCCGAGCGTCCTATTCGGGTGAAGATGGCAGATGTCCTGTGAAACTTTTTTTTTATTGCGGGGCAGCTACTGGTGTTTCCAGATTTATGGCCTCGCTCCGCTACCGCCACATGCACAAAAGACGAAAAATATAGCGCTGTATCTTTCCATTTTTCTGGAGGAAGTTTCATTCTCATTTGCACTTTTGGTGAGTAGTGGAGCGAGGCCCTTATTGTTTGCTAAACGGTTTGTTCAACCCTTTTTTTTCCCCTCTTTTTCGAAACATTGTCCAATTTCATTCCCAATTGACAAATGATGTGCCCGTGAATCCTCACCGGCCCCATTACCTAGCTTTGGCAGTGATTTTTTTTTTTTTTTTTTTTTGAAAAAAAAAAAGAAGAACAACCCAGGTGAATGCTAGAGGTGCTGATAAAAGAAGACACCACTAGCATGCTCGGGGAGGCTCCATCTATCGGTGGGGAGCGGCACCTGGTGGAAATCGGGTCCAGCATCCCTCAACAATTATAGCCAGGTGTTCCGTAAACCACCCGGGTTCATATCAATGTGCCACGTGTCCACTCCACAAAATGCATACGTGATCAACCGAAACAGCACGCTGGCACACTCTATCATGTGATGAGCAGCATTGATTGCCCTCAACCGAGGGGATTAACTACTCATCGTAGTTAGAACGAAATTCCCACCCCGAAACTTTCATCATCCGCTTAACAAATCGTTAGCAGCACCATGAAAGGGAGAGGTAATCAGAATAGGAAGTTAGTCTCACAAGTTACTCCATAAGGCGTATGACATGGGCATGTTACCTGCCACTGAAGCCTCCTATCTTTTCGCCCTCAAGGTCGAGCTCTGCCGGAGGAACTTTCCAGATTCTTTTTTTTTTGACGAAGCCCTGACAGTATTCAACACTAAGGTGGGAGGGGTCTGGTCCGACTGGGTTCAATGTTTCACCGGCTGGACCTCTTGGATTGGACGAGGAACCAGTCGGTAGGACCCTTCGACAATTTTGGTGGATTGGGCCAGCCGGGGCTGGTACTGTTTGTTAGTTTTTTCAGATGTCCTTTCCTAGTGTCGCGGTAGGTCTATAAGATAGCTCGCATTTCTATATTGTCAACCGGAGCAACCCCTGACGAAGGCCGGTACACTGGCGGACCGGCCGAAACACGTGTGGGGTAATCGCCAGTTGAGGACTTCGTGCAATGGCCTTCATGCCATTCTTTGTTTACCTATCAGCTATCATTGAAGATTACACGAGCTGATTGCGCTCGGGGGATTTGCTATCGGTGTCTAGTATTATCTCTTTCTTCTTTCTTCTCCCTGCTTTCCCTCTCTCTTGTCCTTTTTCCACAATCCATTCATGGCTAGACTGTGTTTGCACATCGCCGCTTATGTTGCATGAGTATACACTTTCCGCCTCCTCCTCTCCTCCTTCTGCTGGAAACTGGGCCCAACATCCCCACTGAGATAATCCGGTTGGTTAAACCCTAAGTGCAAAGAAGGGTATGAATTTCAAAAGCAACAACAATAACTTGCAAGTAAGGAAATCAGTGCTATTAAGATTCAGGGCATATTCGAATCACTGTCTTCCCCCGAACATAACGCATATGCGTTGTATTCGAGTTAAGAAAAAAAAAAAGTCAAATATTTGAATAAAATGCATATGCGTCGTATCCGGAAATCAGGGCTAGTGATCGAAAGGTAAAGGCCCTAGAAAACAAAAACACTCCATCGCTTGTTTTTCGAAGTGATCGCTTTGCGCGCTTTCATAAACCCGCGAATACGTCCTATTTGTTCGAGTGGAACACATGTGCGTGGTATTCGAATCAGGGCTAGTGATCAAAAGAAAGGCACTAGAGTCTGGACAAATAAGAAAGACGAATCAGAATGCGTGAGTTCGTTCTATTTGTTTGAATAGAACACACGTGCGTTTCGTTCTATTTGTTCGAAAAGAACACGTGTGTTGTATTTGAATAGATGGCAACCTACGTGCCGTATTCGGTTACAATGCATATGTGGTCGGGAAAAGACGGTAGAACTTTCCTATCACTAACAAACATGATCAAAGAAGAACAAATGGACGAATTGAGCTCGCGAAAGGAAGAAACGACCTGACCTCATGCCTGCTTGATGACAAACATGACACAACCAAGAATAGCATCTGAGTGCCAAGTGTTATGTGAAACCGCAAGTACACAGGCCCAGCCTTGCAGAAAGTTTTTATCGCCAGGTGCACAAATAGAGCTCATGATACAAGAACTAGAATGAATCAAGATAACTAATAGCATCTGCAAGCCAAGTGTTAGGTTAAACGGCAAGTACCCGGCCCCAGCCTTGCAGAAAGTTTTTGTCGCCACAAGCAAAACTCGGATGGGCCGCGCGGCGCGGGGCCGGGGCGCCGTTGAGAAGGGGAAAAAAACGGTGGCCAGGGAAGTGGTGCGGGTTTCATTCTAACACCCACGGGCCGATGTATGGTTTAGGGCTTAGGGTTTAAGGCCTCAGTAATTGGCCCAGCCATTTTGTTTATCGACGCGAAAGCAACTTTTGGGGCTGAGTAGCGGCCTGCTTGCCAGAAGAACCTGGTGCAGGCAGGGGCCTGCTTGCTGAATGATTCGCCCAGGTAACTGCCAGGCCAGTGGCCTGCTTACCACTTTGGGCGCAACCCCAGTGGATGGCTGCTAGCCGGCACAATCTGGTTGCGGGAACGCAAAGTAAGAGTTTAAGGGGAGTTGCCCGCCCCAAGGAAATTACTTGGCGGGGTAAGAGTCGAGTCTTTCTTAGGAAGCCCTGATTGGAAGGTTATCAGGGAAAAGCCTATCGCTGCGCAACCAGCAAGGGTACTGCCGCTAAATAACAAATGCGGTGGGCCGTAGTCAGGGTCCGATCAACCAGGCTATGGTGGGCCAAGATGGAGACCTGGCCTTTCTGTACTATACTGCAGAAAGAGCCGAGTGAAGATTATGCATGTGAATACACATGTATTTGTTTGTGAGAAACTTCTTGAGAGGGAAGGCAAGTGTGCCTTCAAAGGTCTCGGTTAGGGGCCGCGCCCCTAGTTTTTGCCAGGACTAGGGGCACCCAACGAGAAGCCGAAGGTTATCTAGGGTCGGGGTGTGAGGATAATTGAGGAAGGTAATTGGAACTTATGCTGCCCGTTTTCGATTGACATCGGCGAGAGAGGACCCAGATTGGGATCCGGACAGCGTATAGTTGCAAAGCCATGTTTTGATGGAAGCCTCCACCTCGAGCCTGTCGGCTGATCGGATTGGTCTCTCTTTCGTCAGCATCTTGAGTAAATCTGATAGCTTTTTGATTTTGCGAAGCGACAAGGGAGTCGCTTGATATGGTCCGGTAAGCGACGGGGACGTCGCTTATTATGGTCCGGTAAGCTGTCGGTGCGKATACCCTTACAAGGGTACTCGCACGGTGTTTTCGCGGTTGACAAAGGTATGGGTCGATTTAGAGTTTATTAAGAAGGACCGCGCGAATCACGGGGTCGCGCAGACTAAAGGCGCGGTGACAGCGTCTAGATTAAAGAGTATGTGAGCGTGCACTTTGTGGGCAYRGACTAACTTRACCAAACCCTGATCGAGGAAGACCACGACGCGTGGTATACCGAGTAGGTGCTAGGCTAAAAACTTWTGAGGCAGTCGCGGCCTCGCACGCACAGGCGGAATTTCGGACGGCGTGAAGACRACTTGGTAGGACTATGACTAAAAGGGAACGTCGCCCGACTTATTGAGAACCGGTGGTTTCGGGCCKTGCCRTGTAGAGTTCRCAGGCATCAGGTTAACCTTACACCGTCGAAGGTAGGAGTCGCCAGTGAGTCCAAGTAAGGGCGGCACTGAGAAGAACAATGAGTGGGGTTTTCTCGGCGGAGAGGCGGTAAAAAGGCGTCGTGGCAGGTCATGAGAAGCTCGACCCGCCGCCCTGCCGTGGTTGGGCTGGCGAGTGTGGTAAGCCAACGGAMCTGTGCCTTCAAAATTRCCAAGTACGGCTTTGGGGAGCCCAGGACGCAGGCCGTAGGTGGGAAAAACGGCCTGGGGTACCACTTTGCAGGTCTGAACAGGCTGCCCTTACTCTTTAAGACTAGGACTGCGCCYAATGCTACCAGGTTGGGGCTTAGCCCTATAGGTTACGGCACTGAGCTTTCACCAGGCAGATCCTAGGATCGAGGCCAGCAGGCAGCAGCGGAGCAGCGAGGAGCACAACTTGGAGAGAACTGAGGGGTTGAGGGTCCCGCGGGACTRTCCCCCTTGGTTTTGCGGGGAGTCCCGACGACGGGCCCGACGGCCAGGACCGAGGCCCATGTCCCAGCAGTTCCCATCCCCCAACCCGTTTTCTAACTTTTTTAATTTTTATTGATTATTATTTTTATTTTTATTTTTATTTATTTATTTATTTATTTATTTATTTATTTTTATTATTTTATTTTTCCCAAATTTAGGACCGGGTCCGGTACCGGTATCGAGACCCGCGGTGAGACCCAGCATCGTTCAGTGGATACACCCACAGACTGYTGGGACATTACTGTCGGGAAACAGTCCTTCAGGACATCTGTTAAAATTGGAACGATACAGAGGAGATTGGCATGGCCACAGCCGACGGCCAACTTGCATAAATAAGAGAGGTTGGGCTCTCTCTTCGGTTGCCGTAGTGAGTAGTAACCAGCGCTGCCTAGCGGGAGAGGAAGTAGTGTGAGAAGAGGGAAGGGGAGGATCAGAAGAGAGAGAGAGAGAGCGCAGGAGGGCGCTGCACAACGAGAGAAGGGAAGCAACAGATAGCAGGGCCAGTGAATGAATCTGGGCAGGCTTCTGCGCAGGGTGCATGCGCTGGAGGGGAAAAGCGCAGAAATGAGGAGCAGCGAGCTATGGTGAGAGAGGGGGTGACTTCCGCTCCGATTCTCAACGGAGGGGAAGAGCTTTTCTCATTCATTGATGGGCTTTTCTCATTCATTGATGGGCTTTTCTCATTCA